CAGTCGCTCGAATCTCTTGTTGAAGCCCATTCACATAATCCACCTCAAGAGTTACCCTCCAAATCTCCATCACACCATTCTCCTGCTAAACATAGTGAGCTTCGTGTTTATTCCAAAAAGAAATGGCATCGAAAGGAGATAGAACAACCAACATTCCCTCAGCAAATCCAAGAGTCGGAACCAACTCCAAGTCTTTCAGAAGCAACACCAGGTAACTCCCAACCTGTCTCATCTACTCTTGAGCTTTATGATGATCGGCCCATTGCCGTAAGAAAAGGAGTTAGATCCTGCACAAGTCATCCTGTTTATAACTTCCTGTCTTACAAAAGATTATCTCCAGAATATCGTGCTTTTGTCTCCAATCTTGACAAGATACAGGTCCCTAACAATATTCATGAAGCCATTGAGATACCACATTGGAAGGCAGCCATTATGGAAGAAGTTCGGGCCTTAGAAAAGAACAATACATGGGAGATAGTTGACTTGCCACAAGGAAAACGACCCGTGGGCTGCAAATGGATATTCACGATAAAACACAAGTCAGATGGGAGTGTAGAACGATTCAAAGCTCGACTAGTTGCAAAGGGATTCACGCAATCTTATGGTATTGATTACCAGGAAACATTTGCCCCAGTTGCAAAACTCAATACTGTAAGACTCCTATCCCTTGCAGCTAATCTAGAATGGCCACTATTCCAACTTGATGTCAAGAATGCCTTCCTCAACGGCGATCTCGAAGAAGAAGTATACATGGAGATTCCTCCTGGTCTCGGAACACAAGCAACAAATAATAAAGTCTGCAAACTCAAGAAGTCATTGTATGGACTAAAGCAGTCACCTCGAGCTTGGTTCGGCCGATTTTCTAAAGCTGTAAAGAAGTTTGGATACGCACAGTGTCAAGCAGATCATACTCTTTTTATCAAGCGATCAGAAAGGGGGGAGTCATCCATTCTCATTGTCTACGTAGATGACATTGTCCTTACAGGGGATTTCTTAGAAGAAATGAAAAAGACTGAAGAACGTCCTTGCAAAGGAGTTTGAGATCAAAGACCTATGAACTCTCAAATACTTCCTAGGAATGGAAGTGGCTCCAACAAAAAAAGGAATAACTGTCTCTCAGCGGAAATATGTCCTAGATCTCCTAAAAGAAACCGGAATGCTCGGATGTAAGCCTGCAAATACGCTTATGGATCCGAACACTAAGATAGGACTTGAGGAGAATGATGTACCTGTTGACAAGGGAAGATATCAGAGACTCGTAGGGAAGCTCATCTACCTCTCACACACTAGACCTGACATTGGTTTTTCAGTGAGTGTGGTGAGTCAGTTCATGAATAATCCTATGGAAGAACATATGAAGGCTGTTTATTGAATCCTGAGGTATCTCAAGATGACTCCTGGCAAAGGCTTGTACTTCTAGAAGAACACAAATAGGAGGATAGAAATCTTTACTGATGCAGACTGGGCAGGTTCAGTCACTGATCGAAGATCCACATCAGGGTATTGCACATTCATATGGGGAAATCTGGTCACTTGGAGAAGTAAGAAACAAATAGTGGTTTCAAGAAGCAGTGTAGAAGCTGAATTCAGAGCTATGGCACATGGAATTGCGAAGGAATGTGGCTCAAGAGGCTCTTAAAGTAACTCAGAATCCAATATGAAGAACCGTTACAAATGTTTTGTGACAATCAAGCTACAATACGCATTGCCAAGAACCCAGTCCTTCATGACAGGACCAAGCATGTGGAAATTGATCGCCATTTCATCAAAGAGAAGATAGAAGATGGAGAAATTTTACTACAATACACACCTACACAATGCCAGATAGCCGACATTCTAACTAAAGCCCTTCCAAGATCAAGCTTTGAGGAGTTGAATATCAAACTAGGTATGATTAACATCTACTACCCAGTTTGAGGGGGAGTGTTGAAAATCCGGATTATTCAGCCCATTCACAGCTGTAACAGGCTGTAGATTTGGCAGGCTGTAGAGGCCTCTAGCTGTCATCTTTCCTTATTTAGTTGATTTAGGAAATCAGGAAATATATCATGATATTTCCTGATTACGTTAGACTAGAAATTAGCCTTTATTTTCCCTGATAATAAGGCTGTAGATCAGGCCACACTCTTGTATATAAGTGCAGCTTTTTACCATTCCAAATCAATGAAAAGTATTATAATTTTTCATTCATTTCTTTAATATACTCACTACTTCTTTAGCAAAACTAGAGGAGATGACAAAAACAAACAGTAAATAATGAGAAGAAAGTCATAAGAAAATAAAAGAGTGACTTTATCAAAATACAAAATATATAATAAAACCTTAACATGCCCGACCATGCAAATTGTTACCCCTTTAATCACAAATTTTCGTAGTCCATGCTCACTTATAATTAACAAAAAGATAAAATTACAAGCAGGATCAGCTGTTTGTCAACTTGAAACTTCTTGACTCCTATGTCATTTTTCTCAGCATTTCCTCAAATTCTCAACACAACCATTTTCGAAACCGGCTTGGAAAGAATCCAAGGTTACACTTACGCAACCCTTTTGTGCAATTCACTCCTTACAAAGAAAAATAAAAACGTCCAATTTCATTCTATCATTTTTGTCATAGCAAACAAGTTAAACAAGTCATTTGAAGTTCAAAACGAAGAATATCTTAATGCTAACCTAATTTCAATTGTCACTGTCAACCATCAGCTTTTTCCTTGCAAGATTTTCGTAAACTACTTCACTCCCACCAAAAAAAAAAAAAGCCCTACATTCTAAACAATTAGAACAAAATAATTAGCAATTCCATGTGATTCACACCGCATTTGCAAAAAAAAAAAAAACAAAAACAAAAAACAAAAAATGCCTGTGGCTTGCAGTTCCCAACAAGTTATAGAATGAATCTCACCCCAAATCTCCATTTAGAAAATTTGCCCAATCCATGTCCTAGTTTGTACATTCAACATACTAGCTGTTCATTCCTAACATTTTAATCCTATAAAAACTTCTAAAGGGAAACCCTTTCCAACACTAATCTCCAACATTTTTTTATATATCTTTATCAATTTTCTTTTCTTTTCTTCTTTCATATAATCGCCAATGCGAAAGAAATTTCTCGTAAACAACTAGCTTCTGATTAAAATTTAGGTTTCAAATGCCAACCAAATTGAGGAAACATAATTGCAGCGATCGCAAAGTGAGGAATTGAAAATGCAAAAAACAAAAAAAAGTGTCGAAGAATCACCTTCAACATCTTGAATCTCGACCTCAACGTCTAGGAGCTCTTCTAATAGCGTCTCTTCGGCTTCCATCGCAAATCTTTTTCGGATTTTTGAAGATTCTGATTTCAGAGTCGAATTTGTTTTCTCACGGCTTTTGTGTGCCGAGACCACTTTGAAAGCGATACTAGAAAGATGGAACTCGGAACAGGTTAGCTAATTTCAAATTTACTCCCGAAGAACAAATGATGTCTCACTTTTACCCTTGCAACTTAAAAAGGTAACGAACTCCAACCCCAAGCTTATAATAAGTTACAATTTGGTTTTACCTTAAAAAAAAAAAAAAGTTACAATTTGGTTTTGGCATTTCTGACATTTAGGGGACGTTTATTTCCTATATTCGTCGCTGATTCTGAATCATGATTCATGATTATTTACAGTGTTTTCTCTCACAAAAAATACACGTAAAACAAGAATAATTTTAAATCATGGTCTGAATACATAAACCAAACGTCCTCTTAGGCGTCAATTTTTGAGATCATATTCGGTACAAATAATAATGTTATTAATATGTTTTGCACTAAAATATATGTTAAAATATGTTATTTTCATTTATACTTTAATGCATAATACTATTTAAATGTTAAATTTATTTTTTTAAATAATTATTTGTTTTTAAAAGTTATAAAAATAAATTTTTATTTTTAAAAAATTCGCTTTTATGCATTTTACAACTTAAGTTTTATTGTTACAATGTTTTCTTCTACAAAAATTTAAATTTAACTTTTTTGCTTCTCTCACATACACAATTCAGGTCATAACTTGAGTTGTGAAACAAACATATCCTAAATATACAAAAGTTGCAATACTTAGATGAAAAAGTACTCATATCAACTCACAGTAATCAAATGCCAAATATATCACATATTATACTTGATGAGAAATTTGTCACAAATTATAACATCTGGTAAATATGCCACAACAAATAACATTACATGCGAGAATGTTTTTACACTCAAATGCTAAAGTTGTAATTGACACATTAATTATAAGATTGCATTGGCATGCTCTATCGACATTAATCAAGTAAGAGTGATTTGATTTGAAGGGAGTTCTCTTGTAGGGTCTCTCTACCAGTAGGATATGTTTTGACAGTTAAATCTGGTTAAAAATATATTAAACTGAAAAAGTATGTAGCACAAATCATTTTTAATATGGATCCAACAGTTAAAAATTAAAATTATTAGTAGTTCATTTTTTTTGATTCAACCACAAAAACTCCCATAAGTAAAAGAAAAATAATAAGTTCTTCCTCATTCCAACCTTAAGTGCATCAGACTCTTTTTAGTTTTACTAAAAGTATGTTCTGTTATTTTTTTTATTTTTTTATTTTTTGAAGCTCTTAAGGTGCGAGTAAAAATAAGTAATTGCTTAAATAAGCAAAGCCTAATCCCTGGAAGAAGTGTTTAGATACATCATTTTTAGGATCGAATCTCAATAGGATCAAATATCAACTCATATCGAGATGTCAAAATCTGCAATTTGAAATAAGATTGATAAGTTTAGGGTCTGTTTATTTTAAAGATTTCGCATGGTTAAAATTATAATTCTTAATTCTATTATAGTATTTTTTTCTCATAAAAAATTTAAATTTTAAAAATTAAAATGATGAATAATGGTTTGAACCATAAACAAACGGACCCTTACCATTGATACGATAACAATCATGACAAACAACTTTGTCCTCCTTATTGTGTAGATTGACGAGGTTTTTCATGTATTCAGAATTTTAGTAGTAGAAAATTGAGAATCTGTATCAAATGAATTCCAATAAATTAAGAAAGTACCCAATTTTTTATTAAGAAAATTTCTATATAATGTCCCACTAAATCAAGTAATTACGCAATTTAAATTGTCTAAATCTGTAACATTCAAATGTATTATCAATATCAATTATGTAAATCCAAAAATATGAAAAACTTGTTCCTAAACTAGTCATAACAATCGAACATATACCCGCCAAAAACAGAATTAAAATTCTAACAAATATTTTTGTATTATTCACAAATACAAAAAACACAAAGAATATTTTTGTGATTATCCTTGAAATGTATCTCATGATAAATATAATTTTTTTAAAAAGATAAATATAATTTTTAATATGTGGGAAGTTTTTTCTTTTAATTTTCTTTTTCTTTCTTCCTTTATTTGTTCTTTTTTTAATTGCATCTTTTTAAAATGCAACATTTCATTTAAGCAAGTGAGTTTTATTTATCACTTATCATAGCGATATTTGGGCTAAAACGTTACAAATTGCACTCTAAATTGTACTATCTTTTCCAAGTTTGAACCTTTAATCACAAAAGTTATTTAAAACTCAAGAGAAATCAATCATGTAAAACACATATTATTTGTTAATAAAAGGTATTTTAGACAAACCGTGCCTTTAACATAAATTTAAATAGATTTAATATTCTTAAAAGGTCTGTGTTTACGCAAGTGTTACACAGAGTGTTTAACACTTTTTGTAATACTGGTGATTAATTGTGTCTTTTCAATACAGAAATGTAAATTAACCAAGCAGGATATAACAGTGCAGAAAATAGAAAACACACGATATGGTATCGCAGTTCGGTACGTACACATACATCTGCGAGGTCATGACCAGACAATAAATAATCTACTAAAATTAAAAGATTACAAAACACCAAACCGGTCTTACACACTCAAGAACTCCTTCCTTGATGTTGTCGCCTCTGTGGAGTATCCTATTAGTGGATTGTTTATCACTACCAGACTGCGATACCATATCGTGTGTTTTCTATTTTTTGCATTGTTATTTCCTGCTTGGTTAATTTACATTTCTGCATTGGAAAGACGCGATTAATCACCAGTGTTATAGAAAGTGTTATAACACTCTGTGTAACACCTGCGTAAAAAACATACCTTTCATTTGGTATCAGAGCAGATTACTAACCGTCTGCTTGGTGAGATTTTAGGAGTTGATTTGTTATAGCAGGAATAGATTTTCTAGGAGAAGGAGGTTATGTTTCACGCCCACATGGCAACATAAAACGTAAAGAATATTCAGGAGGAACAACCTATAGAGATCAATGAATTAGAAGATGATGACTTTCTGTGGGAGCTATGAGAGGGAAAACATGTGGATGACATTCAAGGGGAGCAGAATGATGAAGAAAAAGGTGATTTGCAGAGAAGTGTTGCACCGAGTGTTTCAATAAGTGTTGCAACAACATCTACAACATCAGCTGCAAGATATGTGACTAGATAGTGAACTTTTATATATATATATATATAATTTGTGTGTTTAGCTAATTTTTGTCAAAAAGGGGAGACCATGTATTAATTTTATTTGAATTTTTTTGTGTTATTAGACACTTTTGTAAATTGTGATAGTTTTGCCTAAAACAGTCAAAGAGGAGATTGTTAGGTATTTTGTTAGTTGGTTTGTTTTTGGCATGAGTCTATAAAAATTAAAAAAACAGGGTTTGCGGGGTAATGGTGCAGATTTGAGGATCAGATTATGTGGAAAGCTTGATTGGATATAATTATGGAAGAAAATTCGGATTTGAAGGAGATTTTCGTGGGGATTTTAAGGCAGATTATGTGGAGAATTTGGATTGGGATATTTGTGGCATAATCCGAATGTTATTTGGAGTTGACTAATCCAACGTGGAACGTAGGGAGGATGAGTCATTGATTTGGTTTGGCGTGGTCCAAGAAAGGAAATCTTGAGATTTGACTTGGTCAAAGAATATCCAAATAAGGCTTGCTATAATAGAAGATTGACATTTAAGATTTGAAACTCAAAGTGCTGCATATTTGAATATCACGATATGAATTTGAGTCTAATTCAGATTTGAAGGAGATAATTATGGAGTTGGTTTATAACGTGAAGTCATGGTGAGATTATCCCATGGGTAGTTTGAATAAAAAGGATAATCGGATTTGATTTCAAATAAGGAGATTTTCTACATATATTGGTGGAGATATTTAGGTCTCGTTCATTTCGCTGATCTGAGTTTTTAATTCGAGTTGAGATGTGATTTTATGTGAGAGCTTTTTACTGTAGCAAAAAAGTTAGATGTGATTGTTTGTGAGAGCTTTTTACTGTAGCAAAACTCAAATTCTAAACTCGAATCAACGAAATGAATGGGGCCTTACATATCTTGTTTTACTGGTAGTAGAGAGAATCGTGGAGTTAAAAGGAAAAGTATATTCAAGCTTGAATTGGAGAATATTATTAACATGAAAAGTGGTGATTATTGAAGTTAAAAATATGGAGATAATCATATGGTTATTTCACTTGGATTAGACGTGAAAAGGCATTCCAATTGTTGCTATATAAATTGCATGTGTGTGTACGTGAAGTTTGAAGCCTTGGAAGTGATAATTTTGGGGTTTTATATTTTTGAGGTTTTAAAGTAATTCAAGGCTGCCCATATGAAGTGTACTTTTACAGAGAATATTTCCAGGGAAAAAATTTGTGTTAGTGAGTCTTTGAGTATTGTTGAATTCGTCCTTAGGGAGAAAGGTCAGAAACTTTTAGGAGAAAGCGTACTGCCAGTCGAAGGGATTTCACCGTACAATTTGAAGACGAGTGGTGTTCACTGGACAAGACCATTAAGGAGATTCGACACGGCGGCAACAATGTCAAAGAGGAGTCTTTGAGTATATAAGTCCGATTAGTGTCTGTAATTCTTTAGAACTTAGTGGATTGTTCATTGTATGAGCGTGACCCCACAGATATAGGTTTGTGAACCGAACTGCGATACTAACCTCTGGTGTTCTCTGTTTCCATTTTATTTTCCTTCTCAATTAATTAGATGTTGTTTAATTTGAAATTTAATTAATCGCAAGTATTCTAGAAAGTGTTACAACACTATGTAATTCACCCGTAAAAAAAAAAACGATCTTTTAATTCTCATACTATCAAGTATCAAGATATATTTTTGCTGCTAAATCGCCTATATTGCGACAAAAATTTTCTTGCAAAGCATGTCTCAGTAAACCAAACTCGAAACTTGGTAACATATGATCCCATACTATGATGGTGATGGAAATTTTACCAAAACTCTACACGACCAAATGGACCAAATGATTGGTCGCAGAAAAGATATTTCGCTACCAAATAATAATTTCGTTGCAAAAATTTTATTGCCACGATTTAAGTTT